GGTTTCTGAGATATGGTATCACTACAGAAGTAGATTGCTCAATCTTCCTTCCAAGGAGTGGCTGGTCGGTTTGAACTGCCAGCCTTCTGGTTAGTAGTCAAATGCTTTAGGAACTACACTACCAGAGTTTCCTTCACCTACTTACTGTGTAACTATTTATCATTGACTGCCCCAGCCACTGAAGAAGAGTTGATGCTTTTGAGTTGTGGTGTTGGCGAAGAATACTGAAAGTACCATGGACTGCTAAAAGAACTAACAAATCTGTCCTGGAAGAAGTGCAGCTGGAATGCTCCTTGGAAGCAAGAATAGCCAGACTTCATCTCACCTATTTTGGTCATGTTGTCAGAAGGGACCATTCCCTGGAGAAGGATATCATGCTTGGTAAAGTGGAGGGTCAACAAAAAAGGGGAAGGCCCTCAAAAGATGGATTGGCACAGTAGCTGCCATGATGGGCTTGGGTATAGCAGGCATTGTGAGGCTAGCACAGGACGAGGCAGTGTTTCGTTCTGTTGTCCATACAGTTGCTGAGTCAGAGCCAACTCGATGGCACCTAACAACAGCCCCAGCCACAGCCTTGGCCAAATGGAAAGCTAGTCCCAGGACAGTACTCCTCCTGCTTGTTCCTACCCCCACCATTGTTGTTAAGATCAGGGTGACAGCTGCCCCAAGGAGAGCCAGATCTGACCCAAGATATGTCAGTCTGAGTCAATCAGATTATCTTGGGGGAGGAAAATTGAATCATAAGTGCAATTAATGGGAGGTACTTAAGCTGAAATGCCACATAAAAAGAAGGATATGGGTTCAATGATCTAGGAGAGGACATTGGCTATGATAGAGACACAGAGAGAAGTAGATGGCTAGATGGAAAGGAGAGACAGACACACAGAGGGACAGAAATGAGAGGATCATGCAGTCCCTGGGAGATGGAACACCCAGCCTTAGTTCCCATCTGTTTAGTTTCTGAGAGCCAGCTGTACAGTTGGGCCTTGAGTTCCAAGACAATCAGTAAAACTTTCTAGTGGATATTTATTATTTTGGCCTTCCCAGCCCAGTTAATTTAGCATCATCATTTCAATTTCTTATTGGAGAATTCCCTCTCCTTCCACAGAAACACGCTATTGGGCAAACATAATCCAACCCTATAAATAATTACATTGTGTATGAATTATCTAAATAACTCAATCAGAGGCAGATTGTCAGCCTGTATGAAAACACAGGCTTCAACCATATGCTAAATACAAGAGCTACACCTTAGATTCAGGTAAAAACAGTTGAAATGAGAGAATGGAAAAAGATATACTATGCCAACAGTAACCCTAAGACAGCTATAGTGGCTATACTAACATCAGATAAAATAGACTTTAAGACAAGAAATATTACTAGTGACAAAAAGGGACATTTCATAATAATAAAAGGATCAATTCTTCAAGAAGGTATAAAAGTTATAAATATTTATGTAACTAAGAGCATAGCCTCAAAATACATGAAGACAGATTTGAGAGGAAAAAGAGATAATTCAACAATTGTAGTTGATATACAATTTCATTACTCCACTTTCAGTAACTGATAAAACAACTAGAAAGAAAATTAGCAAAGGCATAGAAGACTTGAATAACATTACCAACAATCTCTACATAACTGACAGATATAAAACATTGCACCGAACAGTGGCATGGATGATACACATTCTTTTGCAGTACACAGGGGATATTCTCCTGGACTGATCCTTTAGTTGGCCATAAAACAAATCTTGATACATTTAAAAGTATTGATATTATAAAAGTTAGATTCTTTAACCTTGTTCTGGTTACCTAGTGCCACTCTGACAAGAATATACCACAAATGGGATGGCTTGAAGAAACAGGAATTTATTCTCTTATAGTTTGGAGGCTTTAAGTCCAAGTTCAAAGTGCCTGGTTCTAAGGGCTGGGTGAAAGCCCCTCAACCTTGGGCTTCAGCTCTGCCTCCTGCTCCCAGCCCATTGAAGTTGGGGGCTTTTCTTCACTCAGCTGCTGGCTGCTGAGGCTGACAAGGCCAAGGTTGAGAAGTAAAAAGGCACAGTCCTGATGTTACCAAATCACATGGCAGGCCATTAATCCAAGTCCATTGAAAGTCCCAAGGTCAGCAGAGCATGGCAGGCTGCTGAACAACAACACAGCTACATGCAGGGTTCAAATGTGCCATAAGCTAGAGACCATTCCCAAAGCTGCCGCTTATATATGGGAAGCAGACCACATCCCTAAAGCAGCTACTCAGCTATTCACAGTTAGATTCCACCATGGAGTTGATTACCAGTCTCATCATGGAGAATACTACATCCAGCTGCCCAGCTACTCAACCAGGCCCAGCCCATTGACACACAACCGTAAACTACCACAAACCTCAACAGAATTAAATTAAAAACCAACAACAGAAAGAAATCTTGGAAATCTCTAAATATTTGGAACTAAGACAACATATTTCTAAATAACTCATAAGTTAAAGAAGAAATCACAAAATATATTAGAAAACATCTTGAATGAAAATGACAATATTTACAGAATGCAGTTAAAGCAGTGCCTAGAGGGAAATTTATAGCTTTAAATGCCTATATCAAAGAAGATTCTTAAATCAACAATCTAAGCTTCAACCTTTAGAAACTAGAAGAAAAAGAAGTGCAAACTAAACCCAAAGCAAGCAAACTAAAACCAAAAGCAAGCAGAAGAAAGGAAATAATAAAAGAGCAGAAATCAATGAACTGTAAAAGAGAATAGCAGGGGAGAAACTTAATGAAGCAAAATATGTTTTGTGAAGAAGATCAATAAACTTAAACACTTTTAGCTAGACTGATAAAAGGGAAAAAAGAGAAGATGCATATTATCAACATTGGGACTGAAAGAGGGGATATCACTACAGACCAACAGAAATTAAACAAATTATAAGAATGCCAAGAAATTTATGCCAAAAAATGTATAAACTTAGAAGAAAAAATGATTAGAGAAATACAACTTCCAAAATTGACTCAAAGAAAAATAGAGAATCTATTTTTATTTTTTAATTTTCATTCTCATTCAGTTCTTTTGATATGTGTTCAAGTTTGTTAATATTTACTTCCACAATGTCCAAACTGCCACTAATGTCATAAAATGTATTCTTTATTTTAGACATTGTAGTTTTCTGCTTTAAAAATTTGATTTGGGTCATTTTTACAACATGCATTTCTTTACTTAACATGTTCAATATTTTTTCTAACTTTTAAGCATAAGAAGTAAAGTTATAATGACTACTTTTAATGTCTTTGCTAATTCTAATATCTGTATCAGTTCTAGGCCATGTTTGATTGAGTCTTTCCCTCCTCATTATGAACTATATTTTCCTGCTTTTTTGCAAATTTGATATTTTTTGGGGGGAGTGGCAGACATTGTAATTTTTACCTTTTTGGGCACTGGATATTTTAGTATTCCTGAAAACATTCTTGAGCTTTATTCTGTAATGCAGTTACATTATTTGAGAATAGTTTGATCCCTGCAGATATTGCTTTTATTAAATAACAGTTTTATTGAGGTGTAATTTACATACCAGGTCTTGCTGTTAAGATTTGTTAGATAGGACCACAGTAGCATTTTGCATAGAGCTAATTATTCCTCATTGCTAATTAAGACACTCTGAGTTACTCTACCCGATACCTTATGATTTATGCAGTTTTGGGGTCTACCTGGTGGGAAAACTCACTATTTCCAGCCAGCTACTGTTCCCTCTATCTTTTCAGATGTTTCTTTTCCTGGTGTCAAGTAGTTCATACTCATGTACTCAGCTAAACCCTCACAAGGAACCCTCTGATGATGCTAGTTCTCACTATGCAGTTCTTTCATCTCCAGTAGTCTTCCTTGAGTCACCATGCTCTCCCCAGACTTTAAGTTCCATTTCCTCAACTCAGAGTTTGCTAGGTTCCACCTGTGATTCTTCTTCTTGTGTCACGACCTGGTAATTTTTTCGAGGCAGTGAGCTGAGGTGATACAGGTTCTATAATCTGCTTCCGTAGTGATACCACCTCAGAAACCCAAGGAGGGGTCGCTATGAGTCAGATCTGACTCAACAGCAGTTGAGTTTGGTTATTATTATTATTATTATTATTATTATTTTGAAACTACCCTGGCCTCTGTTTTTCCTCATGTGCCATGTCTCCATCCTGCTCCAGGGCCTTTGTACATATTTGTCCTTCTGGTCTACTGAAGGCTACATACCCGAGTGCAATCATCCACTGCCCTAAGTATGGTTCCATTGTATGGGCTTTTGTAGAATTGGTTCCTTTGCCTTCAGTGCACTCATCTTCCTTTGTCATTATGGATTCATAGGGTAATTATTTGACTGCTGCCTTGTCTTCCCCACTAGCCCATATGCTTTAGGAGGTCCAAAGCTGTGTTTTTATTCTGTACTTTATCACCAGCATAGTGCCTGACATGTAATAAGCATCTGATAGCTACCTACATGAATAAATTAATGTGTGCATATAGGAGAAATTGAGCCTATGAAATCCTCATTCTAGAGTTCCTTGTGGGAAGCCTCGATATCACACAAGGAACTGGTACTTCTTATACACAGTGGGGAGCCTTTGGAGGTTTTTCAGAAAGTAAGATAGGTTTGCTGACCTTTGTTTAAGCAAGACCTGTGTGGAAGTAGAGGCGGTAAGGTATAAGGAGGCTGTGGCAGAGTTCAGGTACGGGATGGTGCTTAAAGAGGACCAGTGGCCATATGGGGAAAGGTGGACCATATTCAATGTCCTACCTCCACTCTGACCCCTGGGCTAGCCACAAAGCCTGACAGTGACCTCATAATTGCCACCGTCAACCCTGCACCCTTTTGAGGTCAATCCAGCTGTGTTACCTAACTCTGCCCTTTATGTTCACATCTGGAGGCCACACCCTACCTTCTGCATCATCCAAGTCAGCAAGTAGAGACAGAGAGACCAAGAGGGTGAGAGAGTACCACCCTCTCACCTACGGTGTGACCAGAACTCCATCATGTCTGAGAAAGCAGAGGATCTAAAGGACATGATGCCCACTGAGCACAAATCCATGTGGAAGACTGCTGAGGAGAGGCGCATGTCTGACCTCACACGGGTGCTGGAGTGGATGGAGCGGAGGCAGGGCAAGAAGAAGCAAGTTCTCCAGGTGGGCATTTGAGAAGGGCTAAGGAGCAAAGTCTTCAGGGTTCCGGTTTCAGAATAAGACCTTTTCCACTGTCCCTGGCCACTTCCCTCCCCACTGATAGCTCCAGGGTCAAAGGCAGTGCCTTCCCCTCTAGCCTGCATCAGAGCTACCTGCCCTTCCCTCTTCCTCTGGGGATGAAGGCAACAGTTTTGCCTGTTTTCCCTAGTTCCCCCAGGTTCTACAGAAGGCTTATCATCTATAGCCATGTCCATGGAAAGTGGTATCTTGAATGACCCTGATCCCCAGAGCAAAGGGGCTGAAAATAGTAGAGCAGCAGTACTCATGATGGTACTCATCACATGGTTAACTTCTATGAAGCATTTCCTGTGTTCCACGCCCTGTGCTTAACATTGTACATGGGTTATCTCATCAACAACTCCCAGCCATTAAGCCATTATTACCCCCTGATTTTTAGGAAGTCCCACTTATCCAGTTTCTGTTCTATTGTTTCTGTATTTTCAGTGTAGTTATGCCAAAAATTAGGACCCCTAGCTTTGTCCCTAGGAGCTCTGGTAGCATAGTGCCTAAGGCACTCAACTGCTAACCAGAAGACTGGTGGTTCAAACCCACCAGCTATTCCTCAGAAGGAAGGTTGGGCAATTTACTTCTGTAGTGATACTGCCTCAAGCAAATTACTTCTCTTCACCTCTGGAATCTACTTCTGTAGTGATACTGCCTTAGAAACCCAAGGAGGGGTCACTATGAGTCGGGTCCGACTCGACGGCAAATAACAAATAAGCTTTGTCCCTATGTTATCTTCCAGAGACTTTGTTGTTGTTATTTGCCGTCGAGTCGGCCCCAACTCATAGCGACCCCTCCTTGGGTTTCCGAGGCAATATCACTATGGAAGTAGGATTGCCCAACCTTCCTTCTGAGGAGTGGCTTCCTTTTGAACCGCCAGCCTTCTGGTTAGCAGTCAAGTGCTTAGGCACTATGCTACCAGAGCTCCTTCCAGAGACTTTATAAACAAAAAAAACCAAACTCACTGCTGTCGAGTTGGATCTGACTCCTAGTGACCCCTCCTTGGGTTTCTGAGGAGTATCACTACAGAAGTAGATTCCAGAGGTGAAGAGAAGTAATTTGCTTGAGGTCACATAGCTAATAAAGGGCAGAGCAAGGGCTCAAACAGACTTACCCAATTTTCCTGCTAATGGGCTTTGTCAGACCCGATAATTAACCGCACTTTCTCTGCTTTATCCAGATTATCATGCTCTGCTGTCAGGAAAACCATTTGGTTTATGTGCTTATCATTTATGGAGTCCCTGGGTGGTGTAAACAGTTAATGTGTTGGTCTGCAAATCAAAAGATTGGTGGTTCAATCCACTCAAAGGTGCCTTGGAAGAAAGGCCTGGTGATCTACTTTCAAAAGAATGCATTGAAAATCCTATGGAACACAGTTCCACTGTGACACACATAGGGTCATCATGAGTCAGAATTGACTCAACAGCAATTTTTTTTTTTTTTTTTTTTTGTCATTTATAGTCACAAAGATCTTGAGTATTAACTCCATCAGACACGGCAAAAAGCATCTGATAAACATATTTTACATTAAGGTGCTAATGATATACTGATAACCTGTCCCTGTCTGCTTATGTTTTTGGAAGAGGCCTTGACTGCTTGGTCACTCGGACTAAATTTAATATTCAATCACAGTAATTATATTTGCTCCCATGGTTTGTATGTTTGGTCCCATCTCCTTTCACTAGGGTGATATTCTAATAATGTTTAACAGCTTTACCTTATGTGTGGCTTTTATTGTAAATAAGTTTGGACCCAGAAAGGAAACATATTTAAATTGAACATATAATTAAACCTTCAAGCACCATCACCCTTTCTAAAGCATTTGGATTTTCAAAGACGTTCCTGATAATCTCCAACTTTATATGGAAAGGAAAGAGGCCCTGAGTGTTAGCAATATTAAGAACAAAGTAGGAGTCCTCACACTTCCTGATCTCAGAATTCACTATACAGTCACAGTAATCAAAACAGCCTGATACTGGTATAACAACAGACACAGACCATTGGAACAGAATTGAGAACCCAGAAGTAAGTTCATCCATCTATGGACAGCTGATCTCCAACAAAGGATTGAAGTTCATTCAGTGGGGGAAGAGACAATCTCTCTAACAAATGGTGCTGGCAAAACTGGATATCCATTTGCAGAAAAATGAAACAGGATCCTTACCTCACACCATACACAAAAACTAACTCAAAATGGATCGAAGACCTAAATATTAAAAGTATGAAGTTTCTGAGAGCTCTGGTGGTGTAGTGCCTAAGACATCTGATTGCTAACAAGAAGGCTGGTGGTTCAAACCCACCAGCCATTCCTCAGAAGGAAGATTGGGCAATCTACTTCTGTAGTGATACTGCCTCAGAAACCCAAGGAAGGGTCGCTATGAGTCAGATCCAACTCGATGGCAGTGAGTTTGGTTTTTTTTTTTTTGTTTGTTTGTTTTTTTATAAAGTTTCTGGAAGATAACATAGGGACAAAGCTTGTTGTTGTTGTTGTTATGTGCTGTCGAGTTGCCCCGACCCATATATATATGTTTATGTAGTGATACTGCCTCAGAAACCCAAGAAGGGGTCGCTATGAGTTGGATCCGACTTGACGGCAGTGAGTTTATATGTGCTACAAATATATTCATGTACAGTAAAGCACATAGGGAACAGAGTTATGGATACTTCCTAGATATAACCAAACACTTCATGGGGTTGATTTACTGGGTTTGAAGGCTCAAGAACATAGTCCTGTGGGACAACTAGGTTAATTGGCTTATCTTAGTTCATAAAGATAAGGTTCTACATCCTAGTTTAGTGGATAGCAACCGGGGTCTTGAAAGCTTTTGAGTGGCCATCTAAGATACAACTATTGGTTTCTTCTCATCTGGAGAGAAGGGGAGTGAAGGAAGCTAAAGACTCAAGGAAGCAATTAGTCCACAGGACCAATGGCCCGTGTGAAGCACAGCCTCTTCCATCCTGAGACCAGAAGAACTAGGCCATTCCTAGCTACCACTACTGACCGCTCTGACCAGGGGTCTAATAGAAGGTCCCAGTTAGAAAGGGAGAAAAATGTAGGACAAAATCAAATTCATAAAAAAAGACCAGACTTACTGGACAGATAAAGATTAGAGGAATCCCTGAGATTATCATCCTTTTAACCTGAAACTGAATCCACTCCTAGACATCACCTTTCAGACAATAATAGATTGTCCCATAAAATAAACAAAAACATTTAAGAGGAAGGTGCTTCTTTGAAAAGTCAACTATACAAGACCAAACAGTCAACATTTACCCAAAATTGAGAAGGCAATGAGAGGCAAGGAAACCGGATGGATGGAATTGGGGCAGGCAGGGTGCATATGGTGAGTGCTGCCACTTTGGGGGATATTAACCAATGTCACAGAACAATCTGTGTATGATTTGTTGAATGGGAATTTAATTTGCTGTGCAAACTTTCACCTAAAACAAGATAAAATATTTTTATAAAGAAAAACACTCTTAAGAAGGTGATGCTTCTGTGGCAAGTTGGGCAGCAGCAGGTGAAAAGACATTTCAGTGAAGATGGTTGGGGGAATGGAATTCTCTCTGCACCTCAGGCTACCCCTTGCACCTTCTCTTCCTTCTCCTGGGAAGCAATTCCACACCTGGCAATCCAAGGTGTTTCCCACTCCAGCATAGCAAAGAAAGCAGGGTTTTTTGGTTTGCACAGCTTATGGCACTACCCATAGGGCTTGGACTCTTGTGACCCATTTGACAGCAGAGAAAACTCCAAAGTCCAAAGGCCTACTCACAAAGCCCACCAAGTTAGTTTCTTTGATTGTAGGGTTTGTTTTTTTTTTTTTTTTTTTGAGGTGTGTGTGTGTGGGGGGGGTTGTACATATCCTGCATCAGTCCAACTCAGCTTCCTCCAAAATGGGGGAGCTACTCACGTGACTCCATAGGAGAGGCTGAGCATTGTATAGGGAAAGGTTGGGAGAGGAAGTCCCCTAGAGATGGCCCAGCCTCTCTCTTCACAACCTGAAAATTCAGCCTTGGCCAACTTGCATTCATCTGAAGTTAATGAGAAGCTCCTTCTTCTGAAGATATTTACGACATTAAGCCCGTCTGCCTTCATTTCTTAGTGTGTCCCTAGCCGACTCGATGGCACATAACAACAACAACAACAGAATGCCACAAGTGTGTGGCTTTAAAAAACAGAAATTTATTTTCTCACAGTTTAAGAGACTACATGTCCAAGTTCAGGGCACCACCTGTAGGGGAAGGCTTCCTCTCTATCAGCTTTGGGGGAAAATCCTTATCTCTCTGTTTCTGTAGCCCCAACAGTCCTTGGTTCCTTGGCAGTCTTCCCATAGCATGTATCTTCTTACCATTCATTCTTGTATAGCTCTGTGTCTAAGGTGCTCTCATGGTGCAACAGTTAAGCACTCCACTGCTAACCGAAAGGTTGGTGGTTTGAACCTACCCAGCGGCTCCATGGGAGAAAGCACTGGCAATCTGCTTCTGTAAAGATAAAGAGTACAGCCTAGAAAACCCAATGGAGACGTTCTACTCTGTGACACGATGTCATTATGAATTGGAATCAACTGGGTAGCACCTAACAACAACATCTCTGTGCATCACTCAGAAGTGATTAGGTTTAGGATACACCCTACACAGATATTACCTCATTAACATAATAAAGAAAACCCTATTTCCAAATCAGATTACATCAGGTATATCAAACCAAACCAAACCAAACCTGCTGCTGTGGAGGCAATTCCAACTCATGTTGACCCTATGTATTACAAGAGTAGAACCATTTTATAGGGTTTTCTTGGCTATAATCTTTTTTTATTATTATTATTTTTATTGTGATTTGGGTGAAAGTTTACAGAGCAAATTCACTTTCCATACAGCAACTCACCTACACTTTGTCTCATGACATTGACTGCAATTTCTCACAATGCAACAGTTCCCCTCTTATTTCCTCCCCATAGTTACCTCTTCCCTGTGTCCTTCCCTCCATGCACTCCTGCCCCTTGAGCTGTCTCCCTGTGCATACACAGCCCTTCTATTCTCCTATGATTGATCTCTCCAAGGAGTGTATCTATCTAATGTAAATGTTCAGCTCATATGCCTGTCTTTTGTCTGGCTGGAAGCCACGGGAGGGGGCTTCAGTTCCAGACCTGAAGGGCAGCTAGGGACTGTAATCTTTCAGAAGCAGATAGCCACACCTTCTGTGGTTCTGCTGGGTGAGTTTGAACTGCCAACCTTTATGTTAGCAGTCAAGCACAAAACATTTGTGCATCTCAAGAAGCTATCCAGAGGTATAGGGGTTAGGATTCCAACACATATTTTGGGGGACATAATTCAATCCATGATAATACCCTTGGCAACTCCCTCCCTCACACCCAACTGCCTTAGCAAGGCATTCCTTCCACTTCATAATTGCTAACATTAATGAAGGACTTAGTGCTTACACGTATTAATTCATTTATTTCTCACAACAGCCCTAGAAGGTAGATCCTATTTGTCATAAACTGAATTATGTTCTCCCAAAAATATGTGTCAGCTTGGCTGGGCCACGATTCTCAATGGTTTGGCAGTTATGTAATGATATAATGTGACACTTTTGTAATGATGTAATCATCCTCCATGATGTGATCAGCCAATCAGTTGTAAGGGGATTAGAGTGGGATGCAACACTCTTACTCAGGTCATGGCCCTGATCCAGTGTAATGGGAGTTTCCCTAAGTGTGGCCTGGACCCCTTCTTATCTTACAAGAGATAAAAGAGAAAAGCAAGCAGAGAAGGGAGATCTGACTACCACCAAGAAAGAAGAGCTGGGGATGGAGTGTGTCCTTTGGACCTGGGGTCCCTGAGCTAAGAACCTTCTGGGCCCAGGGGAAGGTGATGGCAAGGACTCATGGTGATCTCCAAGGGATGCTGGGCCCACAGATGCTGAAAGGAGACAAAGATTTTCCTCCTAAATTGTGAGCTGTCAGAGAAAGAAAGCTTTCTAGAGCTGGTTCTCTGAATTTGGATTTCAAGCCTCTTAAACTGTGAGAAAATCTATTTCTGTTAAAGCCATCCATGTGTGGTATTTATGTTGTGGTATTAACTGGGCTTCACTCTGTTATAGCAGCACTAGGTAACTATGACGCTATTATCCCCATCTTTTCAGTAAGGAAACTGAGCTACAGAGAGAATAATGACTTACCTGACGTTACTCAGCCACTAAGCAATAGAGCAGGATTCCAACCCAAGTGGTCTGACCTAGAGACTACAGTCTTAGCCACTCTTACCCACAGTCACAAGTCACATACACCTGAAAGGAGATTTAAAAAAAAAAAAAAAAAAAAAACCTCACTGCTATCAAGTCAGATCCAACTCATAGCAACCCCTCCTTGGGTTTCCAAGGCAGTATCACTACGGAAGTAGATTGCCCA